ACTCTGTATACACTGCGTATACACTGGAAAAACGAATTGCAATCTGATATTCTCTTCAGTAAGAATTCAACATTGGCTATACTTTGCATTCCTTCCTCTCAGAATTTCCATTTGACTTCTGAGTTGTCCTCCTTATTCTGCATTGTTTTTAACTGCAAACAAAGCATCCATAAGTGTGATTTGCTGCCGAACTTTGTGTTCGCTGAAACACTGGGGTTTGAAGTACCGCTACACCAGTGTGTAATTCGTTCTATCCTGGGAGGAAATAATCTATAACCTTGGGTACTAGGAGGGGATTAAATTCCTTCAGGAAACACTGTGAATTCAGTGAGCTCGAATTAATTTCTGTATCATTTAAATTTACGTTTACAAGATAACGTTCTAATTTCCAGAATCATTATTTACAAATACAGGATAACCACGGATCTAACAGTAGCAACTGAGGGTAATTCCTTCAAAGAACTGCTTATATTTGGATTGTGGAGTTTCTATTGGAATAAATTGAACACGTGTAACATAATGATTTTGGGCAAGTCTTTTCAATATCCTTCGGGGAGCCTTTGAGCAACGGTAAAGTTGTCCTCATGTGACGTATCACGGGTTCGGGCCGTGGGATCAGCCATTAATGTTTGCATCAAGGTAGGCTGCTACGTCACACCCTTTGAGGTGCGGCCCTTCCCTGAACCTTGCGTAAACGCAGAATATTTCGTGCACCGAACCTTTTTAACTTCACCACTTTTCTTTAAGTCACTCTTACTAGTTGTACCATAGTGGATATTTGGTAATACACCAGTAATTCTTGAAACCTGATTGATCTATTTATTGAGAAGTGACTCAGAAAATATATGAGGTTTTAGGGGTTGTTTGATAGGATGCATTAGAGAAACTAATGCATGCATTAGCTTTTGGTATTACTAATTCCTTGTTAGGTACACTTTTTCAGCCTATGTATTACTACTGCAAGTATTAGTTATACAACCTATTTGGTATTATTCTATGTATAACTAATACATAGCAATTTATGGTTAGCAATACCAAGGCTAATATGCAATATTTTTAAATTTTTGATACACCAAACCAAACAATGGAGAAGAAATAATATCTGCATAACTAATACTTACATTACTTACCCATGCATTACTAATACACCTTTTTCAGCATTATTTTTATACACACGAACCAAACGACCCCTTATAGTTTGTAAGCTGTAACAACCAATTATCTATCTTTGCAGCTTCCAGCTCCTGTCAATGATATGCAAATGCTTAGTACTGAGTAGATGGGAAAGAATATGCACCTCATGCTGAAAGGAGCAGTCGCAAATGTATTATTTACTTCACTTCTTGTGAAGTGAAAGAAAATCAAGGCTGGTATATGTACTAGAACATATGATCAAGATTCCACAGATGTATCATTCTATAACAAGATGTATTATATTAGT